ATAAAACTGAAACGAAATTGATATCTCGATTATTCGCTTATTAGCGATCCTGAAAGTTTTCAATCTATTTAAATAGAAATATCGATTTTTTAATGTCTTTATATAGAAATATGAATTCACCAAATTTTATTATTTTATTATTATTTTGTATTTCACAGGCAAAGACTCGTAATTATGCAAATAAAAGATACCGACGCGATCAAGATTTCTATGATTTCACGCTGCTCTCAATTCGCGGTGCATCTTACGTCGCATTACTCGTTTGAAATTGAATAATGATTTTCCCACGAGACATTATAAATTGCTATCCGCATCTATTTTGCGATTCCGCCGGGCAGCTTCCTCAAGCGAGACTACATTTTAATTAGTTGTAAACATGAGCAATGGCGGCACTTATTCGCGCTGCAACTTTGCGTACTCACGCTGCGTAATCGCGGCGGCTGTGGTTTGCTGCGACAAACCAGATTCTTCATGGTTAACTTGCAGATCGTAGCGGCAGGTTTTCACTGTTGACACTATCATGCTATACGCGTCTCTCTTTCCGCGAGAGAGCGTACGTACACCATATGTCTATTATACTACCGGAGGACTTATCGCATGTCAAATCGTCTTATCGATGCCCGAGCAAGAGATCCGACTGCGAATGTTACATCCGCAGTCATCAAATAAATGACTCTGTGTGCACGCAGCTCCTCATGTATCCGCCAATTATCTTCGCGGAACTAATTGGTAGGGCGATCATATCGCTGTCTTATCGCTTAACGGAATAGATATCAAGCCCTTATTTCCTTACCTAATTATTTTCAGTCTCGCGTGGCGCAAAAAACATGATCAATGATAATCCGCTGCTACAAGAAAATTTCTTTAACATTCGATTTTGCATGTTCTTTTTGCGCGCTTTATATATACATTTGCAGGCGCCACTGCGATATCTCACGGTGATACGGTCATTCCGTGGAAATTAAATCATGACTAATTAATTAGGATTCGAGAATATTGCGGAATAGTTTGTTTTAGAACCTTGTTTGCCGGAATTTATATTAAAAAATGGAAATAATAAATTGTAAAATAGAAAAAAATTAACAACAAAAACCAGTAAATAATATTTTCTTTCTCAAGAAATTTTAAAAATTTCTTGCAGACTTGCAAATAACAGAAAATCAAAACTTTCTGCTAAAATCAGATTGCGCGCTTCCTTACCGCAAAATATTTTCAAGTAGAACTTTTCATAAATTCTACTTGCGTGTTTAAAAACACAAGAGAGAAATAATTTCAAGGCGACACTCGTAAACAACGACACACATATTCGTATATTTGCAGTTTGGTGCATTCGTTGTTGCGCACGAGCGCAGGATTCGACCGCAAGGAAAGGGCAAAGTTCGATTTGTCGACTTACGTCAGATTGCCGCGGCGCGATGATCATTGATGACGACGTGAGGTCGTTCATCATCCCCGTGACACGACGTACAGAATCACGACCTGTTACGTACACGCGAATATATTGCGCGAACCGAGGAAACCGTTACCATCCAGGCACACTCAAAGTTCTCGGCACATAGTTTACGGTTAACTGCAGTTTACGCATGACCCTGCATCCCACGCGACGAAACAAATGTCCAATTTAAATACCCCCAGATTTCGGCGCGAATAAATCTTGGCATAATCGCAACACCGCGGCGTGCCGTGATCGGTGACAACGGGAATTCCGCGGGGCATCACTGAGCGCGCGGCGAAGTAAATTAAATCAGTCCGATAAATGAAATATAAAAGAAGAAAAGAAGACTGAAGAATGCCTGATAGCTGTTTATACGCCGATTTATGGCAAATTGGGTACAAATCCGTGATCTTGATCAGAAAAGGATAAAACAAATGCCCCGTTAATCGCAGCAAGTAGACAAATGCAGTCGAACTTTCGAATTCTTTTTCGAATCTTTTTCGTTCGTGAGAAGAAACATTGAAATTTAGTTCCAATTGCAATTATTATGTGTACGTGTGTGCCGTAAATATACACATATATTTCAATCATGAACGAATAAAGCTATTCGGCATTTAACCAGCCAGCTAGTTTTGCAATTTGCTTTATTCGCTGATACCATCTTAGATTATTTACTATCTGTGTTACAGTTAAAGTTCTAATGTATTAAATAGCGATATAATAATAACCCAACTATTCAACATATTTCTGTTGATTATTTAATTGAAATACTCTATGCTTGTATTATTTTTGGTCTTTCTTGTAAATGTTCAATAAACCGCGAAAAACCTGGAGCAACAGAGGATAGGAGAAAATTGGAAAATCAATTTGGACCTTAAAGCACTCGAAGCACATTCTTTAGAGTTCTCCTTTCACAAAATTATCTCTCTTGTACCTCCCTTCGGCGAGGCATATATTACCGCGGTAGGACGAGTGCACCTCGTAAATCACTCGTCGTTCTGCAACTCGCTACGGTACAGAAGAGAAACAATGACTAGCTTTGCCGAAGCCGTACACGTGCGTACCGAATACAGGCATAACTATGCCTGCGAGTGACGATTTGTGCCACTTTTCCACAGCTAATATTTATGTTAGACTTATCTTGGACTTTGAAAAGTCATCGTCTCGCAAATACGGTAGAAATAACGTTTACAAAAATATTACATTGCATCAAAATTATATCGTGCTAATTTCTATAATAAAATTATACATTTGGCGAATAAAAATAGTGGGATTAAACTCAGTTTCCAAGTTTTTGAAAATTTACATCTTGGAAGTAGCAAATATTACGCTATTAGCACATTTACTCAAACAACCGTAAAATCGTCGTGGGCGTTAGTGGGTCGCGTGGAAGAAAAATACTTTTCCGGAGAGTATTTCAAGCACTCGGGTGTGATTTATGTATTATATAGCAGATAGCTATAATAAGCCGCCATATCGTTCTATACGCATTTTATACGCGCGTGGGCGCTTGGGAGATCAAGATCAGCATTTCATAACGACGTACCGCAATTTCTTACGCACGCTCGCCGCTGTTTCTCTCTTAGACCCACGACGATATAAGTAAATAACGCATCGGCGCGGCGTTAAACCTCATATAACCTGCGCCACAAACGGACACCGCGGACCGTTGCGGACACCCACGTGTAACAGGGCGTCTCGTAATCCACCGCGGCGTAGGCAGGACACTGGTAGCCTGGCCGTCGCGGTTACAGGTGCAGAAACGGTCAGGTGAAATTTCACATTCCCGGTAAATCTGATAACGGTGACGTTTCGGTAAGCCGCGTCTCTAAACGCTCGCCCGTTCAACGCACTGAATTGCAAATGCGTGAAACGCGCAGAAGCGCGTTAACCTCGAGAACTCGTTTCCTCGCGAGAAACATTTCGCGAAATCTATTCGCTAGATTGCGGAGCGAGAGTAAAGGGATAATTGCAAAGCAGCCGGTTATTTTCTATTATCAATAATTGCCAAGTCTCTCGCCAATTAAAAGTCTAGCCAGCAGGATCAAGAGAGTCTATTTAACAGGATAAGGGCAGCACTTGAGGGGGTTTCTGGATTTCAAATTTAGATAACAATGCGCCCAATAACGAAACTGTATTTACCGACACTTATCAACGTCATGAGCGCGCATTAGGTAGGTAGGCGCGCGCGCGCGCGCGCGCACGGGTTTCTCCCTTGCGTATACCTGCGTGACTTACAAGCCCCAAGTCTATATTTCAACGAGTGTTAAAGTCGCGGCCGCCGCGATTCCATCGTGCGTTCCGGACCTCCGATCATTACACCCGTTATAAGCTGTCACATAGCTCATCTTATACACGCATCGCTTCTCACCGACACGAGGGAACCGCGTCGGATATTTTTTTCTTCTCCTGTATTTTACAATCAGCCGCCTATTGGTGGAATTAACTTAAACCGCTCGCTTCCAATCGACTCGAGGCATCTAGGTGAAAGAGGCGAGGCGCTTATTTCTTTGAATAATCCTACATAGAATGTTCCCTTTGTGAGACCAGATCGATCGATTCATCGACCTGACATATCTTTGACTAATTTTAGGTCGATTTTTATCGTGCATTCATCACGCTTGTATTGCAAAAAAAAAAGAAATAAATTTGCACTGATCGACAAGCGATCGCGTATACAAGAATTTCGAAAGGCTAAGCGAAAATGACGGTCTCTCGCGTGTCGTTGCGTCAGCGCGAGATAAGACTTTCACTGAAGAATCAAGTGCCCGGGAGCGAGAGACACGAAACACGCGCGGTAACTTTTACGATCGTCTCACGAGACGATTTCCGGCCTCCCGATCGCGAGCCGAACAATTCGGCCGGTTCGTAAAGTTCGTCGGCTGCAATTTAAATAATCTCGAAGGAGAAGTGTGGTCCGGCGTTCGGCGCGTTTGAGAGAGTCGCGGAACGAATTAATGTAATTAGGCTTAATTAGAAGTATCTTCCCCCTCGAGAGGGGAATTCCACACCTCTCTCTCCTCCTCTTCGTGTTCATTTTATTATTCTTAAACCACCCTTTCCCAATCTCTTCCTCGGCGCATACCTTCTATGGCGCATGCTTTAGTCACGCGGTATACGGGATTAAGAACTAAAACCGGCAATGCGGCGATGCGTACATTTACCATTCACAAGGCCGAATCTTTATTAGTCAAGCATAATCGTAGGCGTATATATTACAACACGCCTGATATCGATTAAGCCGGCAACGATGACATGATTTACAGCTCAGCGAACAGATAATATTAGTCTGGATTCCTCTCTCATATTTCATAACGGCAAATATGAATAATTAATAATTAATTCGATAATAATTCTTTCCGCTCTCATTTTGTATCGAAAAAATTCTGTTTTAATTAAAACAGATTCGACATTGAGAGTATCGCCTGCGAAAGTTGCCCCGGTATTTCGGTAACACGCGGTGCCCGGTGGCTTTATCAACATTTTTATTAAGTTGAACACCAGAGTAATTCTGTCAGAGCCGAAACACTGTGACGGCAATTTTATGGCGCTATCAATAACTCACCGGTAGAAGAAGCAAGGACGAGGGCGAGTGCCTCGCGGCCGCCTGCCTAAGGTTGAGAAAGTGCAGTAGGGGGTCCTCGGTCGCTCTCAGCTCGTCCAGTGTCCTCCTAGCCTCGCTATATTTCTCCAGGTATTCCCAGTAAGAGTTCCAAAACGAGCCGGGAAATAAGTTACCTGTTGACAGCGTACACCGTCGCAATTAAAATCCGTCGCGATGCGCGCAGAAAAAAGCACCGAATTCCGTCGTCAAATTATTATCCTTTCCCGGCCGTAAAATAATTGCGCTTGTCGTATCACTCCCGCGGGAAAGATTTTGCATTCGCCGGCGATAATTAACAGCCGTCGTTTTCTGCGTTCTGTGCGCGTGCATTAGAAAATAAAAGAATCCGCACTGAGACGCGACGTAATGGAACTGTGCTATTGAAGAATAAATTAATATCGAGCTGAAATTATTAATGTCTCCATCTCGTTCCGGTTTTTTTTTTTTCGTTCGATCTACAGGATACCCACGTTTCCTTTTCCCTTTTGTATCTCCGGAAAGTGAGTTATCTCCTCCGATTAAACATTTTTACTCGCATTCCGTCTCCCGCCGTGAAATACGGACCGCACCGTGTAATTCGCGGATTCAACGCGAGCCGCGTCGCGAGTTTACAGTAGTCCTCGCCACTTCCTACGTTCGCGCTGCGCGAATTGACATCGTGCAATTATATCCTCGGGACGGACGCGCCGCAAAAAGTGCGAGCCGTGCGTGAGTCACGAGCGGACAAGCGCGAAAAAATGCGCGCGATATCGTGTTTCAAGATAACACCGAGCGCGAGTAGCACGAATAAATTCCCCCCGCGGTGTGCACGCGTGAGCCGCGCGGCGGCGATTTACGATCGACGTCGTCGTCCCGCGCGATAAAAAAATCGACGATCTTATTAATGTAAATTCGAAATGGCGGGTGATAGTCATTTCACGGTAATAGCGGCAGCGCCAGATGAAAAGTACGGCGGCGAACGCGAACCCGAGAGAGAGAGAGAGAGAGAAAGAGAGAAAGAAAGAAGAAGAGAGAGAGAAACGACGAGAGTACGAATGCATAAAGCATGGCAAATCTCGATCGCGCGCGAGCGCACGAGGGGGAATCGCTTAATTAGCGCGTCTTTTTAAATGCAACGTAACCGCCCCTGTCGATCGCTTTCGCCGTCTATCACGCACGATTATCGGAAAACGCAGTAAGAAAAGAGGAGTAAAAGAAAGGGAAGGACAGGATCGTCGACGAGGATTGTCGAAGGGGAAGGGCACGGTCGCCTTGATAAGTTCCACTTTACCAGTTTCCTAAGATGTGCAGAGAGCCGAGGACTACTTGCCTCGGCCGCTCTCTCGTAAGGCATAATAAACTCGTTAAGGTCGCTTGGCATCGTAATCGATAATCGCGCACATAGCTAAGAATCCCGTGTACATGTGCGTGTACTTACCCGGCTTGAAGGCACCGCCGTCCCAATTCTCGAGTGCCCCGCGGATCTGAAAAGGAAGCAAAAAGGGCACGTTAGAATTGGCTTTTAAAATACAATACGACCAACATACGGAGGGAGGGAGAGGGGGTGAGCGGGGGATCATGTATAATACATGAGGAAAGTGACTTGAGTTCAGGACGCAATATACGTCGCTTTCTGATTCATTATTTTCGATCTGTCGCGTCCGTCACTTGTCACTTAGCCCACAGCCTTCGCGCGTTTATATATTTTACGTTATTATAAGACCACTTGTGCCGCGCGGCAATTTAACAGCTGCCACCGGATTCTCGTCAGCGTGTGTGGCGTATTCGCAAAAATGTTTGAGATATTACGACGGTGAATGTTTATAAATTAACGATAAGGTAGATTACAATCAACGAAACATGATTAAACGTGAGAATGCGAGTAAAATCAGAAGTACACGTTAATTTCGAGTTGATATCTTTCGTTCGCCGATACGAAAAATATATTATCGCTCTGTTTGATCAAACAAATTCGTCACGCGTCTCCACTTTTTCCCCGAACATTTATCATACGTTTCGTTAACAAGCCTGGTTAGCAGCGGAAATAGTTATTTCGCTGACGTCGCGCTCTTGAAGCATCCTGACCGATCACCGGGAACATTTGTAGCCCATGATGATGTCAAAGACCTTAAACTGTTCGAGGCCAGACCGCGTCCTCGAGAAGAGCGTATATTTATCCGTTGACTTATGACGCAGCATTATGCTCAATCAGGACATCGTCCCAAGCAGCGCATTCGATATGAATGAGCTTGGTAATCCGTGAGACCACCTCTGCCCACAAAGGCATCGGCAGGTCGCCTCGATAATGTTACAGTAGCTAGTGGAGCCGGCAATGTAAATATCGTGCAGCCCGCGTTCGCGCTGCTTTTTAAAGAAGCTCTAATTATCGCTTTATGATACAATTATAAACAAAAGGGGACGAGAGTTCGCGGTTTTGCGATATGCAGATGCGTGACTTCACGGGCGCAATAACAAAATGGAAATAAACCGGTCCGGAAAGAATACGCGCGCGATACATCTGGCACGTAGTAATTAATTTCGTCGTAATAAAGGCGCCGCGCTTCATGAAATTGTATTACACGGTTTTGGAGCAAGAAACGCGCCGCGCTCGCCGTGTCCAAGGGATGAGTCCGTGGTTTTGTCCAGGGTGCACGCAGATACGCAAAAGACGTGATGGACGGGACGCAACGCTCTCAAGGCCCTTTAATGGCAAGGTCTTCCAGACCGAGACGCAGGCGGATGGAAATTATCGACGAGAGTCAATCAGCCTGCCTCCGAGCTACGAATACGTATCTATCGGAGGCACCGTGTAATCACAATAAAACTGCCGCCGCTGTGTACGAGAGAGCTCAATTCCCAACAACCAATTTGTTCCGGTTTAATTGCTACGTCTTATGTGTGCTATCGCAAGGAAAGCGGAGTTCTTCTGACTCTAACACAGCGGCGGGGCAACAATTATCGCGATAAATTGTACACCGATCTGCCGAGCGTACTTCAAATTTCAAAGGAAAGAGAGCGTTCTCTCTTCGTACAATGTAGAGGGGAAAAAAAAGGGGTAGAAAACGCGAAAGAGAGAGTCGGGAGTGTCTTATCGCTCCAGATACTCGATTGGAGTCTATCGATGCTGTTAGGCAAGAAAGTATACGTAATTTCGTGCAAAAAAGTACATGTTCTTAATTAATGTATAAATTACTGCAAGACACAATATTTGCGGTAATAAACTGTCAGATCGTTGTAAGTTTTAAATGTAAAAGTATGAAACGACGTGAAGTTTCTTTCTGTACGTAATAAATCAACCAGATTAGATTAAAGAATTATATAAACACTGCATTAGGAAGCATCGGAATCGAGTTTAGTTTAGCTGCAACGCAACGGGTCGTCGACCTGCTCTTATCCGAACCTAAAGGATTAGAGGAACGACGACTTGTTAAGCTATAAACCAAGCGATAAGGCACGTCAGATGAGGCAATTCCCGAAGGACAGATCAAATCTTCGCTCCAGAGAAGACTTGACTTTCCAGAGATACGATTTAAAACATGAATATTCTCTAAGAATTTTTATCCAACAGATAATATAATAATTAATAATTTTTTACATCTGTAGAATTTTCTGGTCTTTTAAAGTGCAAGAATTATCATTCATATTTGATTATAATTTTTTATACACGCATATATTATACGATTCATCACACAAGTAATTATTCTTTTTCTAATCTAGATAGTGACTTGACTTGGCAATTATTTCGTTTTATTATACATGCTGCGATATAAAGGTGACACATAGAAATCACAAAAAAAAATGTATACGTCATTTTGAAATTGCACTTCGTAAATGTATGTATAGATGAAAAAAGTATAATTATTTACGTTGTCTCAATGATATGCGCGAGATTCAAAATAAGCGCATAATTAAAATGTTTACCGCAGCAAGCAATCTCTTCTGCGACGAGAGATATCGCATTCCAAGTCGCATTCTATGCAACGAATTTTTATCATACCGTCTTGACTGCAGGTATCACGCGTTACATATCGATAAGTCACTCGACTCGGCCAAGAGAGAGAGAGAGAGAGAGAGAAGGAGAGATGATAGCCGGCGTGAAATGAAAAAAGGGTTGCCTGCGTGCATGTAGAAGCAACGATACGTGCGTTGCATCGTCACGTCGTTCCGTCATGATGCGATGCGTCGGCGTGTCGATGCGTTTCTTATTGTCAGATACGTATCTATGTTAAGCGTGCACGCACTGCGTGCCTCCATGCATTTATGCATCGCATTATACGCGCTGGCGACGACGATAGGATAGGTACAGGGTGACCCATTCGTTTTCGAGGCTGTCGAGAGTAGAGGAAGTGTCTATGTCTCCGGCGGTCATGAATTATGTATGCATACGCGGTCACGCGGAGATTGCCGCGCTTCGCGCCGCTTAACGTCTCGCCGCGCTCGTCACGCGTAGCGGGAAAATAATTAATAAAATAATTAAGCAGGACCGCGATTATACGATCGCGGTTACCGGAAACCGCGCTGAATTCGACATAAACGCCGCGGTTGAATATCGTCCGCGCCGAGCAGTCTGGTTATAAAGTCGCGTGAAATAATGATTAGGCGTCAGGTGAGTTAATCGACTGTGAAATTAATAATTAAACGGGCTCCCGGGATGTATCGTGTGTGGTTTCGCTGCGCGTTTGATTTGACCGCGCGATACAAACAGGGTGTGCGACAACCGTGATCTTACTTGCGACAATAGCCTTGAGTTAAATCCAGAGTCGATCGTCCCTTACGCGACACTTTGCGAAATTAAAAATGAGAATTTGAACGATCCCCGTCAGCGGCTTCAACTGTCTCGCGAAATCAGAGGCCGCGAAACGTGAGGCACCCTGTACGAGCGATCTAAGTCGTGGCTTCTTTTATCGCCTGAATAGTGATGGACGTTCGATTATCGATAATCTCGGCTGGCATGGATATTACGACGAGCACCGTCGCCAATTTTTCGCTCGTGCTGCTTCTCGCCGTCGCACGAATACGCAGATGCATTCCTCGGAGGCGGTTTTAATTATACGTCGCACGCGCATGCCCGTCCCTTCGGCGTCCCTGCCGCCCATCTAGGACGACGACGACGACGAGTATGCGAGCGGGAGGCGTTCCCAAAAAAAGCAGGTCGAGCGGCCGCTCGTTATTAGGGACCAACTATGCGTAGGCGTTTATCCCATTATTATTTTATAGTCGTCGGGACAGTTCGCTATCAGGACTCGCCTTTCAGGACACTTTCTTTCTTTGCTTTCATTTCTCCTCAATCTTCTGAGAGATGGACGATTGATAAACGAGATCGTGCGACAACTTGTGGCACTGATGCTTCCTGTATCGATCTTATTGATTATCGATGCGTGATTGAATAGCTCACGCGTTTTGTTTATGTTAATCGCGCTTTTCATCCTGATGCTATTAATTAAGCGCCATATATATAAACGGGGCAATCAATAAGCGGAGTAATTAATTAAACGCTATCAACAAGGTAAACAGCTCTTTCTCCCGCGTCGTTATTCATGATGAAAAAAATGGCGCGCCGTAATCAGGTTACGATAAATCCAATAATTTTTGTCATCTGTAATTGTCACTCCTGCTGATGGAGAAAGTATCACTTGTCGGTCGCAACGTGTTATTAATATTTAATATCGATCAAACGTGGTGGTCCACTGAGCGATATGACATCACGATTTTATAGTTCAATTTATCAAAATACGACATTCAGTGAAAAATATACATAAATATATCAAAATGGCTTAGCGTCAAAATGGCAACGCTGGTTGTTGACGCAAAAATTTTCTTATGTTTCATATAGAAACTTTGTTCATCTACATTGAGACATATTTGTTTCTATACGAAACATGAGAAAATTTTCGCATCAGCAATCAGCGTTGGCTCGCTAAGCCATTTTAATATATCATATTAATTCGATGGATTATCGTACGAGCTTATATGTATTTGATATAATTAAAAAACAATTAAGATACATATAAAAATAAAATTGGTAGTTGTAATTTTTAATATTTCCTTGTTTTCTGTCCAGTCTAATTATTTTTCAATAAATATGTAAAATAATTTCTAAATTTGTTACAAGAGAATCTCGAGATCTCTCCTTGCGTTATTTGTTTATTGATGTGGAAAATAAGCGCGCACTCGGAAAAAGTCACTCATTACCGCATGTGGCCGCCAATTGTCTCGAATTCATGACCGAGACTGCGGCGCCCACGTGCACCGGATGTGCGCCTCGTTACCGCTTCACTGCCGAATTAAACACCGGCTCTTCGAGCTGACGACGCTCGTCTTCGATGCCGTTCGCCGTGTGGACGTACCGGAGAAAGTAGATTCGCGTCCCTCGTAAAAAAGTCTTTCTCTTTCCGGCCATCCATCGACCCGCCCGTCCCTTTCTTGTGCACGGCCGATCGGCTGCTTTTACTTGCGCTTTAATAATGTTGTAAGGCCGCCTCGC